AAGTGATCCCTCTATCCAAATTTGATAGTGGTTCTGAGGTCTAGGGACTCTGAGGGCTAGCTCTTGGGGATGTCGACTTAGGTGGCAATCTTCAGACCAGTATTACAGGGCGGGTTCTAGCTAGAACTATGTGTCTAGTCACGACTTTGGAGGATTCTCAGGTGTAGAGGGTAACACCTTAATACTTCGTTTAAAGATTCCTATGTACCGGATACTGTAACTTTAAAAAAAAAAAAAATTACATTTACAATTTTCAGTAAGTTACTTATTTTTGGGTATAATGCAATTTTGAGATTGCTTATTTTCAGAGAAATATGATATAAATTTCCAATTGCCAGAGAAAAAAAACTCAATTGACTAATGTATATCATTATTATTATAAATTCCATTTTCTTGAAGATTCCGAAGTTGATGCTTAAATAGATGTCTAACTTTAGCTAATATTTCATATTGCTCTTTACCTATATAAAGACAAATACTATTTCTTATTATTTAATAATTGTTACAAATAAGAAAGTTATAAAATTAATATTACTAATATTGATGATCTGATTTTAATACATCATCTTTTTTATTTAACAAGCAAACAGTTATAATTATATGATTCTATTTGTGATTTATGTTTTATTTATCTTCACTAAGCTTTAAATTAATTGTATCTTCTATTTGAAGTACCTATAGATTTGATTTATTTCAAATAAGAATTAATATTTGAAGAAGAGTTCAAATAGATCGATAAACTCTATAACCAATTTCTTATTTATCAACTATAATTCCATCAGTATTGTCTTAAGATTCTTCTTCATCAAGTATAAGTTGTTGATCAAGTTTTTTATTAAGATTAAATATTCTGATTTGTATTTAATTATTAATTGATTTAATAATTTCAATTCTCCTTTGTATAATTTAATATTCACGTATTAATTCTGCTTTTACAGCAGCAAATCTTCGATACCTATCATAGCCCAATAAAGCTTTATCACAAGCACATATATATGCATCTAATTTTTTTTGATCAAAAGATAAATAATATTTAATATTAATAACTTGATTCTCATCTTCCAATTTTATATTACATATACGAATTGATTCTTCAGATTCTGAATCCATTCAATATTATAAAATAAGCTGTTTAATTTTTTTGTGAACATCTCTTTCAAATGATGCATATCATTCATTTTGCTATGATACTAATTGCATTTCATTAAGTGGTCTTTTCCTCTTATTGACAATAGCTTTTGCTGTAGATGATTTTTTAGACTGTTTAATTCGTGCTTGATGTAATATTTCAATATTAAATCCAAATATATGTATTCCAGAAATTTGAGAATTTTCACGATTAATTTTCTATAATATTATAAAATAAATAGTAAAAATGCATAAAAACGCATATTTGATTTTTTTAAGTATTGTAAATAATATTAATTTAATATCCTATAAATAACTAATTAAAATACCTTTAAAAATGCATTTACAACCCCAGTAGCAGACTGCTTACTAGATACTATCCATTTTGCTCGACCTTCTTTCCATGTAATAGTATATAAAACTTTATTTGCCAAAGTGTATTTTGTTTCACAATATAACATTTGATTTGCAACTTCTGTCTTTATAATATATTCATTAGGAATTTGATATTGAATAGCACTCTGACCATTTTTTACGTATTTTACATTCTGTGAATAATGTTCAAGTGCTAATATCTTATATTTTGAGTGAAAAACCTTTCTTCTAGTGATATATTGAGCATAAATATTAGGATTATTAAGATAATCCTGACAGAAAATTCTTGTAGTCTACTTATAAACATTTTGATTTTAAGTTATTAAATATATTAAAATAATTAAATGTACATAATTCACAAAAAAGAAAGTAAATTACTTACCATAAAGTGTTAAAGATATTTTTTTTTTTGTTTTTTTATTAAAAAAATTTTTTGAAACTTGAATGGTAAAATAAAAAAGTAACAAATATTGTAAATACAATTTCTTCCGAAATATTCTTAACTATGCAATGAAACTTCAAAAAACATAGTAAAAAAAATTTTTTTCTTGTTATTCAAAGTGGCAATTGACTCTAAATCTCAGTTGTTACATATTTTGGTAATACAGATTAGATTACATCACAAAATATACTTAGTAAAACAAGCATAATCAGCCCATATGGGAAGTTTGCTAGGAAAATGGGCTCTGGGACTAAAATTAAGACCTTATTACATTTTAATCTAATAACATTAAAAACTAAAATGCAATAAAAAACAATTTTTGTTAAAAAATTCCCAGAGTCACATTTTCCTAGCAAACCTCCCATATGCTTAGTGATCGGCCATATGACAAAATTCAACCAATAAAATCGCAGATAAGTTAAACTCTTCAGACGGGTTATAATTTATTTTCGTTTTTTTCGTATTATTGGACTGGGACTGACGAGTCATACTGCCTACAAGTAAATATTTGTACAGTGACACCTCCATAAGTGCACTCCCCTTGGGACCATAATAAAAAAATAGCAGAATGTGCAATTAGAGAGGGTG